GAGATGGGCGGGGACAAGTTAAATAAATAAATAAATAAATAAATACACACACACACACACACACACACACACACACACACACTTTTATAGCACCTTAGATGAATCAGTTTATTGTGGCAGAAGATGGGACTGGGTCCCATTTCATCAAATACATGAAATGTTACCCTTCTTTAGCAGAAAATGATGTTAGTACTGAGGTCATGGAAAACTGAAATGCTATAAATAACCACAAATAGTGGCCATATCATAAGTGGCCACAGCTAACAATATTGATAGAAAAAATGGCAATATGCACATGATAACTTCATGATACAAACTTTCAAAATGTCCTTTCAAAACTGTGTCCTGACATATGCAAATGTAAGGTTTGCACTGTAAGGTTTGCACTGTGATATCATAATACTTCCTCCTCTTCCTAGGAGCCATAAATGAGTAAACAAATGATACATAAACAAATGTATTACTTGCATTTCTGACTTCAGTGCTTTTGTTTTTTTCTTACAAATGTATAATGGTAATGAATCAGGAGTCTTAAAAAGTGAATCCTGGTCTATGCATACTTATGTCATGGTAAATCTGTTACTTTAGCTTAAAATACCAGGTTTTTTTAAAAAATTATTATTCCAACAGATTAACATGGCTATACACAAGATTGCCTGGATCTGTCAAATGTTCATGTTTAACTTTTAATGGGGTAGCACTCCCCCAGAGTTGGTGTACTATCTGGGGGTCCTCCTCTAACAGCAGATGGCAGCTCTGACCAGAGGAGCTTTTGCAAGGATTTGTCTTGCATGCAAGTGGCATCTGTTTCTGGACTGGGGGGCTCTGCTCACAGTCACTCATACCTTAGTCCTTTCCCAATTGCATTACTGTACTGTGCACTGTGTGGAGCTGCCCTTGAAGAACACTTGGAAGCTTCATCTGGTTCAGAATGCAGCAGCACATGCAGTTTTGGGTGCTTCAGAGTTCATCTGTGCAACACCACTGCTGGGTGAGTTGCGCTGGCTTCCAGTATGTTTCCAGGTGCAATTCAAGGTGCTGGTTATCGCCTTTAAAGCCCTACATGGCACGGGGCCAGGTTTCTTGCCAGACCATTTGTCTTCTGAGGGTTTTTGCCTGTACCACCAGATCCAACAGAGTAGGCATGCTCCAAGTCCCTTCTACTAAACAGTATCATCTTACAGGATCTTCTCTGTCATGACACCTGCCCTATGGAACAGCCTCCCCCTTGAGATTTGGAGGGCCCTGACCCTCTTGGTCTTTCAGAAGGCTGCTAAGACCTGGCTTTTTCCTCAGGGATTAGGGCCAGGGTGGTGGGGGAGGTGTGTCCAATGTATCTGTGTTTGTTTTGTGAAATTGCTATTATGATGCCTTAGGATTTTTTTCTCTCTCTTGGATTTTTTAATTGTATTGTCTTTTTTAGTAAGGTGTTCACCACTCAGAGTTATATATTTAAGATGGGCAGCCATATAAATTTTCTAAATAAGTAAATCAAAATTATGATCACAGCATAGATGCAAAACAATAATCACATTTGGCTATAATACATGAATATAGGACATCTGTAGCTAGCAGAATTATAAGTTCCTCTGATATGGCTCCTAACAGTAACACATGTCCATATAGTTCTATCAAGTCCAGACTTAGCCCTTTCCTTTTCTCTAGTCATTTAAGCTATATCACTATCAGATCAAAGTCCAAGTTCCAGATGCACAAGAGAAAATGCATGTAGCATACCCAGATAAATTTTTACTGCACTGCTATAAAGCCTATGTTTCATGCTAAAGCAGGCACATTCAAAATATCGTGCCTAGGCCTTATTTCTCTCTCTCTCAAGATTTAGTTCAGTACAACTTTTGCTTATATTTCCAGATAATTTTGGATACATGCCAGCAGAAATGAAGCCTATTTTCAACTTAGCCTACGTTGCCTCTGGATATGTAGTATGGCAGAATTCGACAGAAAACACTTGGTACAATATGATTAAAATTCAGAGTGTCAAACAAGTGGTAAGTCTTAACCTACTTCAATTAGGGTTGTTTTTTTCCCAAAATACTATTTCCCACTTCCATGTAAAAGGCAATGTTATGATTGTTTGAAGAACGCCAGCCTTGCTATTTATGGCTCAAAAATTGCTAACTCATTTTCCCAGAACAAAAGTAATGCAGCTTTAAAGAACTATAGAGCCAAAGAACAGCAGAAGTCATGCTGTTTGGCACTCCCTTCTTGAGAAACCAGGGATTCACAAATTACAAGATCCACCAGCTCAGGAAAGACTAACAACATGCCAAAGATGGAAGGGAGCAAGGTGAAAAGGGTGAGACAGGTCCATTTTACAGGCTGGTTACAGAAACCTTGCAGACCAGTTCCAGGCCATAGGCCAGAATTTCCTCCCCCACTTAAAAAGAACATTTCTGAGTACTCTGCTGCATTTTACTTTTAATCTGTTTTGTTCTTTATAATAGGACTGTACAAATTTTCTGGACTGATGGCTGCACTTTTTTTTTTTTTTTTTTTTTTTTTTTTACAATTTGTTAACAGTTTATTTGAGATTAGGGATAATACCAAAAGCAGCCATACTAGTAAATAGCTAATACTGGATGATTCCATCACATATTATCAATCTTTAAAAACATGAGACTATAGTATAGTACAGATTACTTCCTGCACTATGCTGTCTTTTTTAAAAGAATCCTTATTCTGTATTTCCCCCCAAACCATAAAGGATATGAGGTCACAAAAATCCAGTAAGCCTACATGGGGCTACCCTTGAAGAGTATTCGGAAGCTGCAGTTGGTACAGAATGTGGCAGCGCAGGCAGTTTTGGGTGCCTCTAGGACTGTGCATGTAACACTTCTGCTACGCGAACTGCATTGGGTGCCGGTTTGCTTCTAGCTCTAATTCAGGGTGTTGGTTATGACCTTTAAAGCCCTACATGGCATGGGCCCAGGTTACCTGAGGAACCATCTCATCCCAATTACATCGACCGTCCCACCCAGTCCGGCAGGAAGGGTATGTTATGGACCCCATCACCCAAAAAATTCCAACTGACAGAGTCTAGGAGGAGACCCTTTTCTGCTGTGGCTCCCACCCTCTGGAACATCTTGCCCCGAGGTGAGATTGGCCCCCACTCTGTTGGCCTTCCAAAAGGGCGTCAAGATGCGGCGCTGCCAACTTGCATGGGGACCTAACGGGTTTGCAGCACCGGGGGTGGTTGGCAGCTTTAGGGTGCTCTTTCTCCATTTTTAGTTTTAACCTTTTTAGTTTTAATTTTAACTTTTTGTAGTTAACTTATATATTTTTGCTAAGATTTTATAGTTTTTTTTACTTGTAATGCCACCCAGAGTCACTTATCCAGTGAGATGGTGGCACATATAAATTTGATGAATAGATAAATTAAATAAATAAATAAGTCAAAGAGCCACTCCCTAATGATTTAATATTACAAGAAAACAAGCAAAGAGTCATGTCTCAGCCCATGAAATTGTTTATATGTACAAGAGCATTTCCCATTATGAGAATATAATCATCTGGGTTTTTTAAAGGAGAAAAAATATCCAAACAGCAGTTGCTTGAGCCAGTAGAACTTGTTTAAACTTTGGGGCCTTGCCCTCAAGCTTATATGATTAAAAGAAAGGAAAACTACATCTCTTCTGATTATTCAATTCTCCAACATTTTACATTCTGTATTATCATATAGAATTAATTATCTGTGCTTGAATGAGGACTCTGCTTGCTGAACTGCTTTTCTCTTTTATGAATTTCAGAAAAGAAATGATGACTATCTTGAATTTTCCTATGTAGTTTTATTCCATGATATTGTCTCCCAGGTAAGTAACATTATTGTAAGAGTTTTTAAAAAAGGTCAGGCACAAAGGAAGTTAAGCATCTTATTTTCATATAAGAACACTGGAGTGGCTGTCCAGGCAACAGTCCAGGACACTAAACTGAATGCAGAAGAAATGGCTCCAAAGTAGGGAGCAATGATGTAGCCCTGTACTCCGAGTCTAAGTGCAGCCTGACCTGCTTCACGTGCAGCAAAACCTAAGAGCAAGATAGCCTGAAAAACTAGGTAACACTCTTGCTCAGGTTGAAAGCAGATTCCAGCACTTGTTTTCAGAATAGGAGTGGGACTTAATGCCATAATTCAGTGGAGGGCAGAAAAAAGCATGGAATATATTGACTTCTAAACAGTCTCTGTATTACTAAAACAAAGCACCACAATACCAGAGCTGTGAGTTCTATAGTAGCAAATCTAAATTTGAAAGAGAGCTTGTAAGTAATTGTTGGAAAGAGTAGAAGGAGATTCCCAAGTCCAGAGAACAGTCAAACTGAATATATTAAATTTAGTTTCAAAATTTATATTCATGTTATACAGGTCAAAGACTTCTTGGTAGGGAAAAGGAAGGATACATTTTTCAAACTAGCAGTTACAGTTGTTCTTTCATAACAGCATTTTGTACTGAAGCAAGTAGCAAATGATAACACTTTACAGACTGCTGGGAAAACCTCACCTGCTGATTTCTAAGTATCTACAGTAGTTCTTACTAAAGGGAATGGAAAGGGAATTATTATTTCCTTTGATCTGGATGCCCCCTTTCTTTTGCCCAGTTGGCAACCTTGGATATCCAATAATATTTTCCCTAAGAAAATAGGGAACACAAGTTGACGACCAAAATTGAACCAAAGATGAACATTTTTTGTTTTCCTGAATTGAATCACCGAGACTAGAAATTTGGTATACCTTGTGCATCCTCTGGAACAGCCTACCCCCAAAGATAAGTGCAGTCTCTTCCCTGGTAGAATTCCAGAAGACTGCCAAGACCTGGCTGTTCTGGAGGGCCTTTGAGATGGAGGTGAATACTTGACTGCCTTCTGAGGGTGTAGCAACAGGATGTGGCTGGGTTATGTTTGTAATAATCCTGCTGGCTGGATATGCTTGTATATTTTTTCCAAGTGTTGCCATTTGGTCCCTAGTATTTTTCTTAAAAACTGAACTGTGGAATGTGTGCTGCTCAGAATTGTATGAATTGTAAGTGAGTATTCAATCACCCTGCTGGATATGGCCCAGTGGTCAAGCCTGTCAAAGTCATTTTGAAATGTGGCTTTGCTCTCTAAAATTTTAGCCACTCACTTGGTGCTAGTATCATCTGCAGGTGGAGCCCTTTTGTAAGATGTGAGTTGATTCCAAGGTTAGAGCAAAGTCTACCTCCTAAGCTTTTCCCAAAAGTTTCATAGCATTACAAGCTAATGCCAGCTAATGAACCCTCTTTCATGCAAATCTGCAGATATGGAAAGAATCAGTGATGGTACTGCACGTTGTTCAGAAAGGGCTGTGGGAACTGAAATGGCATAAGTACAAAGGAAAACAGTGGAGATACACACACATACACACACTCAAATGTTGTGATCCACAAAGGTCAACTTACTAGGGCTAGTTCCTCTCTATTTTGCACTCTGGACAGAACTACGGCAGCTCTACAAACGTTTTGTTGCACAATTCAGAAACGTAGAGCATATTTGCATTACAGATCTGAAAACCTAGCTTTGAAATAAACGTGCATCAGACAATATGATCCACATTCTGAATTGTCCTGATCTGTAGCTCAATAATCTTTATGAACCGGAAAAAGAGGTAGGAAAAGAGGAAAGAAATGGAGCATGGCATAAAGTGCCAAAAAGGAACAGAACCATGTTTTGGCACTATACCCAGAAATGAAATATACTTCCCAGATTTCCCTAAAATTCTGATATTTCTAATATTTGGTGTTTTTTTATTCACAGGAAATTATTCCTTGGCACATGCAAGTTCTATGGCATCCACAGCATGGAGTAAAAGTAACACAGAATAGTCAGCAGTCAAAGAGATTTTAATTAATTCTTACAGGTTATTAAACTAATTGATGAAAGCATCTACACTTAGCGAGAAAAAATACTATTTAGAGGTTTTAGAAACCCTTCCGATTCGGTATACGATCCAAGAACCTAAGCAAATATCCTCCAACCTTCGTTTGGTTAGTAAGCATTTAATTACTAGACTGAACACTTACGGTACAGGGGCCTCGATGCTCTCTCTGAATGCTACTTTAGGCTTTCCAGTCACACAAGGACAACCGTATTCTCTTTCCATTCGCTAGATACAAAGAACACAAAGGTTTTATTGATTTAAATGTGTTGCCAAATAGATATATCTTGGCTAAGCAGCCTTACTTAATGCTATTAAGCAATAGAATTCTAACAATGCTATCACTGGAACAAATGCAAGCTAAAATTGGGGAGAGGGAAGATACTTGGTTTTCTCCCTAAATAGAATATCTTATACAGAGGTACCTTGAGTTACGAATGCCCCTCCTTACGAATTTTTCGAGATACGACCAGCTCCGGCCCCAAAAATTTACCTCGACTTGCGAACTCTGCCTCGACTTACAAACCGGATCTGCGGCCATTTTCACTGCTGCCACACGGTCGCGGCTTCCTGTGGGCGAGATCACGGTAGCAAGGAGACGTTCGGTGAGGC